TTTCCTGGAGTATTTTTGTATTGTGTGGTGGGAGTGCTGGTAAATAAAGGAGCAGGGAAAACAGGAAAGGAAATGATCCCGAACTCCAAATTTTGGTCAGATCTACCAGGATTAATAGCAGTAAGTGAGCTGTTTCATTCACTGATATGAAGAAGATTGTGAAGAATACAGTGTGGTGTGAAAATTCTTTGGGAGTCTATTAACAATTTTTTTTCTGTTCTGGGGAATTAATGTTTGTGGCTCAAGATGGCTGAAATCTTGTGTGAGAATGACAATTTTGCAATCAAGCAGGAGATAAAAACAATGAAGAAAAATATATTCGAATTTTTTATATTCAAGTTTTCCTTTCCTATACAAGGGGAAGATAAACAGAAGTTGATCAGCACATGGATATTTTGCAATTTTGCGATTCTCGCTCTCTTGGACTGGTTTTGTTGTTTGGTCTAGGGGTATGTTTATTGGATATGATATTGATTAGCCTCTGCAGTTCAAGTTATTGGCTCACGGAAAGAAGTGATGATTCTAACTTTATAAAAGAATCTCTCAGTTTCTCTGACCGTGCATACTGCTCCTAATGCTCTTGCTTCTGTTTAATCCTTTAATATTTTCATTGAGAGGACATACCACCCTCTCACTCGCAATCTATTTTTCTGTACGTGAACCTCCCATCATCGTTCTGTTTTGTGTTGCCCCGCACTTTAGCTCGAAAAGAAAATGTTTTTTAATCAGTACTTTCTTTTTCAGGATGGGTTTTCCTTTGTTCTTGCTAAGATCACTTGTTCTCAGATGACCACCTTACGACAGAGTTACAATTCCATGTAATCCAGCCTAATATTTTAGGTCTTGACGCGTATACAGTCTCTATTTTTCCAGTAGGTTTTTTTCATGACATGCGGCTAGATAGAACTTAGTAACTCCAGTAGTAATTCAGTAAAAAGAAGCGGCTTAACTGATAGTTGAGATAAAGGCAAAAGATAATTAGTTAATATAACCCCTTACATCCTAACAATAGTATGAATTAGCTCCACACCGTTATCTATTTAATTCCTAAAGTGCAGATAAGGAGAATTTGTTTAGCAATCAAGAGCTTCTTTAGTTGGTGAGCATTTCCTTTGTTTTCGTGTCCTGAATGAGTGATTCGGGGATGATATTGCAAGGAGAAATTAGATGCTAATCACACTCAGGGGATAAGTGTGGCGGGTCCCCTCACTTTATAGAAATAATTTTACAGTCTGTAAACTATTCTGACAAAGTGTGAATGTTGAAGACGACTGAAGAAGCGGAACGCGAGGAGGTGGCCAGGAAGGGGGGGGGGACGTAGGGTAGAATTCGTCTCACCAAGCTCCCTTAGGGTACACTTCCTCATCACGTGTTATGCTCATGGTGAATGCTTGAATTCGCTCTGCTTGTCTTAAAAAAAGAGGGATAAGTGAACAGAGTGGAAACAAATTTTTAGATGCAGTAGAGGGAACGCCTTATGGAATTAGCTCTAAACTTTTGTCAGCTAAAAAGATTTTGAACTATTTTTCGATGATTTGTCAGAAACACGACTTTCCGTCCTTGTCGTAGCCATTGATAAAACAAAGCTGACGACTTTTTTTTGCTTAACCATTTAACTCATAAGATCTAGTTGTTACTGAGTTATCCCATCGAGCTGCTACACATTTCCTTGTGAATTAGTGAAAACTCGGAGCCTCAGGAACAAGACATTGGGCAGAAATCAGTTTGATAATCAGTAGATATTGTAAAATTCAGTTTACTTCCTTAACTAGCGAACACGGCAAGGGGATCATGACTATACATTCACTGATTTATGAATCGCATACGCTAATCCTTTCGTAGGTATTAAAGATCAATCAATATCAGTGGCGATGGTGATTTCACGTCGCTATTTTGCAGAGGACGGCTAAGAAATGACCAAAGTCTTAAAACGCACATGTTGAGCTAGTCGAGCTGTTGTTCTGCTTATTACATCTTTTGATTCTTTTCACGTCCACATTGCCGTCGCCGTCGTGTTTGCTCAAGGTCCCTAATAAAGTGAATTCGTAAAGCTTGTTCGTTACATGCCAATGAGTTTCGATGATCAGTAAATGCTAATACGAAGAACAACTGTTGTGAATATTTATTCAAACACGTCTCGATGAGTTAGGAAACGAATGAGTTAGGAAATTTTCGTGGGAGCGTTGCCTGCAAAATACTCAAACAATTTTGTATTTACATTTCTATCGAATATCAGCCTGAAAGAACAATGAAGCACAAAATAAATTTTGCTAAAAACTCTACTAGATATTGAAATACCATGTACCAAGCAGATTGATCGAGAAGAAATTTGCTTCACAATTACAGTCATCGAAGACTGTCGCTGGTATTTACTGTAAACTCTTTCTCCGAAAAATTGCCTTTTGTCTCTCGTCTCTGCCGCCTACATGAGCATTACCAGAAATAAAACAGCCCATAAGAGATTTGAGAGGAGAAGTAGATTGAAATGCAAGAGGTAATTTAGTCAAAAAACGAAATGATCCTCGCAAGTTGAAATTCATTTCATTAACCATCGTACGTTACACATGTGACGCGTGTCTTATGAAATTCGTAATAGAACTTGCTCACTGTGGGGTCTCTGTGGCTCAGAGCATCGGAGCGTGGAATCCGAAGGTCTGAGGCTCAGCGGTAGAGCATCGGAGCGCAGAATCCGAAAGTCTGAAGTTCGATTCCTCATGGGGACTCAGATTTTTTTCTTTTTTCTATGCACGTGCAAGACGAAAAATAACTTTCGCTAGATTACAACAGTTATGACAGCTCGATTTTGCGCCAACGGAAAAAACATATTTCAGTCTGAAATAGCGATAGAATGTTCAGGGGGATAGGAAAGTACTAATAAATACACAAGAGTCAAAAGCAGTTAACGAAATACCCTCGTTCAGTCTGGTAAAAGATTTGGCACAAATTAAGTGTACAGTCAGTAATCTGTGTAAGAATTCAAAATGGCGTTTGATAAAACGGAAAGCGCATCTGGGAACCAGTTTTGATTTTCGAGTTCGGTTGGAGAAGCAACTAGCATGATTGGTGAGAGGATTTCGTATGGAAGGAGTTGGACTAAAAGTTTTACTTAAAAACCCTGATTCAAATTGCGAGTGCTAGAGCACGGAATCACGTCCTCTTCGGAGCAAGATGAGTGCCAGTGAACTAAGCAAACAGTCATGTAAAACACGTTCGAACGATCGTAAACAAACAACCTCGAGAGCCTACATCTGCAACCCGTCAACAGTATGACTAATTAATTTTAGTATGTATCACACAGGTGAATAATGCCTTTCGCGCGCGCAGATTGGCTGGTTCGGAAGTGATTAGAATGTACACCTCGGGGCGTCTGAAGAGACAAAATCGCGCGTCAGCAAATTAATTTCGGAACATTTTTTGTGTATTGAAAAAATAAACTTTCTTTTTCGGTTTTTTGTGCTACGTGCTAAAACAATTATTCACCTCAGTGTCGGTGAAAGTGGTGGATACAGTCGAATTAAGCGGCGCCATATTGAGCGGTCACTCTGTTTTAAGCGGTCCGTTGTCAAAGTCAGAAACTTTTTTCCTTGACTTCTCTATCGTTTTTTCACACCCCTAGTCCATAAACCAGGTAAAAAATCATACGGTAATGGGGTACTTGAGGACCCCCCTCCATTGCTAATGGCCTCTTAACTGATGAGGCGGATGACTCATGACGTATCTCATGGTATTTTTTATCGCCTTGCGCTTGATTGTGTCTGAAACTCGACACCAATAAAACAAACTTATGCGCTTAGATTCATGGGATACCTGAATGATCTTAAGGTGGTCTTTAGCACAATGTGGGAGTACCTGGTGTAGCTGACGGTTCTCCGTAAGATTTGAACAGTTGAAGTGCGTCTGAGGGTTAACACCCGAGAGAAACGAGAGAAACGATAAAATGAAAACATTCAGAGAAAAAAACAGCGAAAGTGTTTCTAAAGATACGGAGTGTTTAGAAAAACCGTAAGTCTGATAAATTAGAACAAAATTTAGCTGTTGTTTTACAAAACAGCGTTTAAGCCATCTTCAATTGAGCAGAAATTTTTATCTAGACATTTATTTTTGTGAACAGTGTCAAGAGGGCCCAAAGCTCATAGTGAAAAGACAGTTATTTAATTAAATAAACTCTCTCGCAGAGAATCCCCGAGGCTCACTGCTTGCGTAAAATCGCGGTTTGGGTTTGACCTCATGTAAATAAGCGGCCCGTAGACCCCAACACAGCCGCTGATATATTGTCTTAGCACCGATATGCTGCCGTGATGACAAGTTTCATGAGACAAACTCAATTAATATGAAAAGTAAGGAATATTACCATTGCCGGGCATATTGTCCAAACATGAATGATGCTTTGGTTTATTACACGGCTTGAAGGTGCCAGGTTTGTATTCCACCCAACTGGATTTAAGTCCTAGTTTTATCCAGGACTGGGAATGTTTAAGAACTTCTCTTCCATAACGACCTCTCGCGTACCAACCAGGACTGGCCACCGTGTTAATCCATCTACCTCTTATGTTTGCTTTGGTAAACGATGCAAGGTTTCGTAGCTCTGGTGGGGTTTGGTGCAAATTTGTTAAATTCCACAACCCCCCCTATGCTCCACTTGTCACCACTATACCGGATCGATTAGGATTTTAATAACTGGGATCTGAAAATGTATCGGTTTTGACAGTTTTGCATGCGGTTTCCGGTTTTAATCGAATTTTTTTTAGGTTTTTCGGTTTTGGATGATTTTTTCTACGGTTTTGCGGTTTCTAATGAGCCTCAATGCCCCCCTCTTTAAGTGTTTCCTTACTCGGAACTGGTTAGATCAAATGACCACCACAAACCGTATAATATTAAGCCAAGCTTTAATAATTATTCGATCTAAAAGAAATACATTTATAATTCGCAATTAGAACAAACGGAAATCAAGTCTTTATCTTGTAACTAAATTAAAAAACTTCAATATAAACTAACTTCTGTGGCGGGTCGTTACAACAATCTCACTTTACGGGTTAGCAGATTCTCCAGGTAAGCGGATTTAGAGACAGAAAAACGATAACAAAATAACTTCTTTCTCACTTCGATTCTCCTGAAAAACTGACTTAAAACATAATAATCTAACGCTTTTAAATCAATCTATTGAATTAATGTCAATCACGATTCTTGTCATCGAATAAATCTGTCAACACGAGGCAACGCCTATTTATTAAACGAAACATTAAGTAAGGCGTTGAACTAGAGCAACTTGAGTTTAACCAGGCGGGATGGGAATGAAAATGTTCATTGCGGCGGGATGGAAAGAAAAATAGCAGCGGGATACGGGATTAGATACCCTCGAAAATACTCCCACTGCGCCTGTATCTTGCTTTCCTTGCGTTTGCGTTGGACTTGTGAGCATTTGCATCGCACGTGTGAACCAGGCATTAATACGGCGCCGCTCAATACAGGTCCGACTATAATTATTGCGTAGACAGTAAAGCTGTTGTAATTTTTAATTGGTTTAACTAAACGTGGTTTAATATTACTGTCTGAGATGGTAATTTTGAGCTCGGTTGAGAAATAGCGATAGATGAAAAAAAAAACAGAAATCTGAAGGTACATTTATCCTAATTTGTCAAAAGTTTCCATAGGGGTGCTTCTAAGTTGAAAAATGTTTATTTTTGTTTAGGTTAGGTATTTTATAAACTGGTGGCGTATGCTCCCAGCTCATGGTTAAAAAATTTGAAAAGAACTATTGGGGTACTTTCGTTCGTCCATATTTCATGATTGAAAAACACCTCCGTTGTCGGATCTTAAGATCCCTAATTGAAACGGCAAGTGATCGGCTCCGACGTTCTCCTCGTAACTGAAGCTGCTCCACATACAAAAGAGAAGTGACAGTGAAGAAGGAATGGGATTAGGAATCTAACGTCCCAAAACCCTCCTAATCAGTCGAGACAACACAGTAAGTGAACATTCATTTATCTAACTAATCGGATTATCATTTGTCCGCTCTAAAAATTATTTGGAAGAAAAAATTGATCATGATATCGTGTTCTTTAGTCCTAGTATGTCTTTCATTTAGTAAGAATGTGGTGAGACGAGAAGAAATCGTTTTCATATGACTAGTAAAGTCGATAACACACAATCTTCCTTTGCCCTAAGAAAGGTACTACGATTTTACAATTGCGTGAGGCGCAACGGAAGTTTGGCGATCACATTTTGACGTTGAAATCGTGTTGTTGTCACGGGCAACTGGCCCCGTTTCGAGTGGCAACGTGTCGTTTGACTTCTTTTGGCGGGCTTTCGTGTTTGACGGTTGGTGACGCTCGGCTGTTGAGATTTGGTAACCATTCGAAAAGAGGAAGGTTGCCAGTGACAACAACGTTATTTTACGGTCAAACCTTGTAACCAGACTTTGCCATGAACCAATGACTCGTCGTGAGGTCATGTGAAAACGATCCACAAGTCGGCTTTTTTAACTCTTTTGAGACCTTCCTAGTTTGATAAGCTATCTTTACGTTTCCTTCTTCATTGGCCTTAACACACAGCCAAAGCTCACGGGCAGATGTTTTGATTCTCGCATCTGTGATAACAAGTTTCATGAGGCAAGCTCAATTAATCCACAAAGAACGGAATATTACCATCGGCTGGCAAATTATCTAAGCATGAATGATGCTTTGGTTTATTACACGGCTTGAAGGTGCCAGCTTTGTATTCCCCCCAACCACTTCCCAGTCCTTGTTTTATCCAGGACTGAGCATGTTTCAAAATTTCTCTTCCATAACGACCCCTCACATACAAAGCAGGATTGCATGCCGTGTTAATCCAGTTACCTCTTATATTCGCTTTGGTGAACGATGCAAAGTTTCGTAGCTCTGGTGGAAGATGGAGCCAATTTGTCGTGTTCCACATCCCCCAAACTTCGATGTAAAAGCCACGGAAACCCATGTACGTGAAACCATTAACTAATTTTCCCATTTTCTCGTTAAATATTGGCGGTTTATACCCGTAGACGGAGATACCTTTATTCCGAAAATATTGTTTTGTCTCATCTTTGCTAAATATTTCTATTTGTGTTGACATCATGATGAGATCTCCGTCGGCATCATACGGTAAAAGACCATCGAACTTAACACCACCAAGAATAGAACCAGAATCGAGTTCAAATGAAATATTTCTTTCATCACAGAACTTCTGAAGGACTGTCAAGAGATGTGCGTACTCTTCCAGGCAACAAATTGGGAGTAATTCGTGAGTTGCCTTGCACGAGACGCCAATATCGTCACAAGAGAATGAAAATTTGATCCCCTGGGGCAAAAGTACGCGATTAATCCCCCACTTTTTTGCCAAAGGTGTCCAGACATCTTTTTTAGTGCTCTTGGTATACGAAAAGTAATCCAAAGTGAAATACATAGCGTCAGGGCATGTCATCACTTGGTGGCCATCCTTTCTAATGCGCAAGAACCAGTCTTCAAATACTACTTCGTTTGGAAGACTTTCGTCCAGCTTAAACAAGTCTGTTTTAGTCAGAAAAGGTCCTTGCAGAAAATCACAAAACATGCATGCATTTTGTGAGTGAAAGTAGCCTTCTTGATATTCTAGCACGTAGTTTAGTAGTTTGGTTTGCACACATCCTGCTTTCCAGTGACCAGAAATATTCCGAAATGCTCCCCCGGCAACTTTTACATTTGGTATCTGACTGACCACACGAATTTGTCTTTCTATTTGAGTGAACCATGAGAAGTGAACCACATCACGTGCGACCAGCACATAAGGTGTGGAGGCTTTAGCTTTAAGCATGTTCCACACTTTTGCTGCATTTGTATCATCGACTTTAACCACGTCAATGTTTTCGTACTCTTTGGCCATTTCTATGATATCGTCACTGCGCGTTGCTACGTAAACGTGAACTATTGGATAGGTATCATTGATACCCTTTATTACATTACGAATGTGTTTCTCATCTTCTTTTGGATATGCGACAGTGTTTATTAAAACACTTATGACGGAGCTAAGTGGTTTGACATTGATACAGTTAGTAAGGACCCAACCTGTAGAATAAAATGGGTAACCAAATTTGCTGCCTTTGTATTCTTCTGGACACACATTCAAACTGTTATTTTTCATGCCATTATTTGGAGTTGGTGGTTCTGATTTGCCGTCAAGGCGTTTGGCAAGGTCTCCAACCTTGTTAACAAAATCCGGTGAGGGTATACTTTTATGATCTAAGAGGTATTTTAGTTGGGAGTGGATTTCGTGAAGTTCCTTTCCAAAAGATTCCCTGAGCCAAGTTGATTCAGTTGTCTTTACATCTGCCTTAGTATCTTCACGTACCTTGGTTGCATCATTTCTCTCCTTTGTTGTATTCTCTCTTTCCTTGATTATGTTTCTACAGTCACATGTCTCAGTTTTCTCCTGGTCTGTCATCGCTTTAAATGGAGGTTGTAAATATCTGAAGATTTAACACGTTTCTGTTCTATAAATTATCTTCTAGTCGTGGTATAGTGGAAATAACGAGGTGTGGGCATTTGAGCATTGCTATCATAAAAGTCTCAGTAGGAATTTGGCTGAAACACTTGGACTAGAACTTGGCTGCCACGAATTATTCAAATGATTTGGTTCTTACAGATAAGAATTACTCATAGACTATAATCGTTGACGACGAGAGCATAGAGAGGAGGAACTCTTTTCACAAGCAGTTCTTGATCTCCGTGAGAAATTTTTTGACAATATTATTGAAGCATTCACTATGCTTTGAAGCTAAAAGTAACTATTTTGATGCACGCAGAAAGAATATTTTCTCGTTCATACCATGTTGTATGCATCAGGAACTTATTGGAACAACTACTATCCTTTGAAACTCAAAGTAATTATTTTGATGCATGAGGAAAGAACATTTTCCCGTTCATACCATGTTGTCTGCATCAGGAATATCTTTAAATACTGTTTCACTACAACTGCATTTTTTCCTTAAATTTGGTATAAGTGGATCATAACTGAGGCCACGGCTTCTACTTTGCAATCAAGGATTTCTATATCGAACATACCTGGACCTTGGTGGAGTAAATACACGAAGCGAAAGCAGTACAAAGATAAAAACGATTGTTGCAATGGACCAACGAAGGTACCTCCAAGTTGCTGTGGACACCATGAATATTTTTAAGGCTGTAGAAGTAACAACAGATAGATATGTTAAAAATGTGGAGATATTGGCAACAGTGTAATGTACTCTAGTGGGATCTCGTTTTGTTAAACTCCACTTTATCTATAGCCTGTTCCAGCCTCTCAGGCAGTGGAGATTAGTGAATTGGTAGACGGACAGTAAATGGCCTTCGCGAAATAAGAGGAAGATCGAAGTCAAATGCAATACAAGAGAGTCCTTTCCTCGAATTGCTAAATGAAAGAATATGAAGGCATTGGAAGCTGTGTGGCCAAGTAGTTGCGGTGCTGGACTCGTAATCTAGTGGTCCTGGGTTCAAGTCGTTCACTCTGCTACTCGTTGGAATTGTTCTCGGTTTCTCAGGGCTCAAACCCCTTGGCTAAAATTTGTATGTAACCGACTGGTTTGCTTCCGGCCAGTTTCAAAGCTATGTTCACATACAATATTTCAATACACCCAATGTTTATTTAGTTTATATTGGCCCTGAAAAGCCCCATCGGGGGAGTGGTCAATTAATGTTATTGCCCCCTAAGCCAGAATCCGGAGAGGCTCTCTTTAGGCCTCCAGGTATGGGGAGAAATGAGAAATGACGCATGATCGATAAGCGAAAAAAGCCTCGATTTGTCTTGAATGCAGCTCGCAATGCATCAACAAAATGCCCGCAACTGGTACTGAAACTGACAGAGGAAGTGATGGTTCAGTTCTTCTCAGCAAACACCATTGTGCGGAAGCATATAAACCCAGATCCATTGTTTAGTTAAAAAAGTGGGTCGTGGTTGACAGAAAAATATTGGTTTCAGATGAATTTGTATCAGCAACAGCGTCATTACGTTGGTTGACAAGCGGCCTAAAAACCGTCTGCAATTAATTTTAATCGTTCACAAAAAATACCTAGATAGTAAAAACGTGAGGTATTTGGTTACAGTTAAACTGAACGATGGAACTTTCATTCATTTAATATCTGAATTTTCTCAAATAATTTGTTCGTAGTGAAAGAGCGTGCGAAGTTTTAATTTCAGTTCTACAACAAATATACTCTCTCGGTGAGTCTTTCCAAGTCCGTTCAATTTGGACAATTGTACCGTAAATTTCACAACAGAAACTGAAGGAATTTATTGAGAAAAGGCTGCATTAAATCCCCTTGAGTCTCGTTGAAGTGTGCCATTCGAATTTAGTTTTGGTGGAAGAAAGACCAGATTTACACACGCCATTGCAGCAAACAAACGAGCAAACTCTCACAACTTAAAAATAAAAAAAATTTGAATTTACTCACAATTACTGTCCTCGCCGTTTACTTAATGAACAGAGGTAAATCTTCGTACATGAATGGATCGTCGATGAGAGTGAATAATACTTTCCGTTAGAAAACATTGTCGTGACAGTCCTTGTCAAACTAGTTCTATTGTTTTTCAAATCTTCTTGCACTTTTTTTTTTTACTTACGCGCTCTCTAATTGACAGGTGTCAGATTGTGACAGATACTTGTCAAAATAATGTTTCAAAGTTTGTTAAGAAGCCTTTTAAATCACCTTTATCGTTACGCAAATGAAAATGTTTCGGTGTGGCATCTCTCTTTAATTTGCATCACCTCTATTTTAACTACCATTTTCTCGCTCAAAAAACTGTTCAGTTTATGGAAGATCTTGCCGTATTTACAGCCCCAAATCAATCGGGTTCTTTCGGAAAGAATTTCGTCAAGTTTCAAAAAAAAAAAAAATATAAATAAACGTCGGTCTGGAAAATGCTGGCCTCGGCCTATGGCCTCAGGCAGTATTTTCCAGACCTCGGTCACAGCTTTTCACCATACGGACCTCCCACCCGGCAAATAACATATATTTCTTGACTGAACAAGATTAAAAGCCTGAAAATAATGAAGAAAAAATTGGCCTCCACAGGGTACTTTGATTTCAGTTTGAGCTTCCCAGTCATTCAGTTCTGACTTATCGTTTCAGTTTCGATCGATGTTTAGAAAAATCTTGAACGAAATGCAAAGGCGCACACAGAATGCAATGTTGTGGCGTGACCTGTCTGTACCTTTATTCAATGAAACATGGGCCTCCGTTTGAAACGACTGTTAGTTTCATACCAGAAACTGAAATAATTTACTCTCGATTTTCATGCGTTATAGGTGATTCGGACTTAATCTTCATCAACTATCTTGCGATAGACTGAGATGAAATCTCGAGCGCGTGATCGATTTGTTTATTACCCCAAGGCTTCTCTATTTGTTTTATAATAAAGAATCCGTTCATGGTTTTGCAGGTTCAAGGGGCTCCGAGGTCTGCTGATCCACAGTTTGACAACACGCAGACGGACTCTTGATCAACAATCTGATTTTATGTCCGAAGTTCTATCGCCCGAAAATTGATGAGGGTGAGGCCCGGATAAACTATCACGCTTAGAAATCGAGAGCGAACAATTTAAGTATTTTGTTGTAAATCTACTGGTCGCTCAAAACAAGTCTGGCTCATTTTGTTTTGTTTTGTTTTTTAAACCACACAGTGCTAGGCTTCTCGCGTCATGCATTATCCATTACGAAATAGACAGGCGGTAGCGAAGTCAGTCATATCGAAGTATTTCTTGAGTAAACGTGAGTGAATTTATGCTAATGTCGAATGGATAGAATAATAAATAAAAGCGGTCAAGTACACCTTCTCGCAGCGTGGGTGGAGGAAAGAATTTCGCTCTCGCTCGATTGAGGTCCGACTTAACAAAATTTTGCGCGACAAATTCTTCCTTTCTTGTATCTTTGCTACGGTTCAAGATTTTTCCAAAGAATTACGCTAAAATTGTACAAGAAAGAAACTAAATTAATTATGATACGTGTCAAAGCCGTTTTCGTTTCGTTTTTTTTTTCGAATCATCACACGAAATATCGATGAAACAACGGTTGATAAATTTTATTAAAAGCCATGCTTGATTAATCAAACACAGCTAAACTTATTCCAAAGGCATTTTGTACTTCATATTTCCATGAATTGCGGATAAAGCTGTTGATGACACCTGGTGGGTCCTTGTACATCACATGGTTCGTTATCATTATGTTCCCGGATTTCAAGTCTTCAATAAAACTGTAAAACTTTGCTCCTAATCCTCCCAGACATATAGAATTAAACCTTTATCCTTATGTCGACAAAATCCTATCAAAATGTTCAAAATTTCGTTTTTTCCCTCTTTAATTAGAGAGAGAATCTAAGTTTAATTTGCCGAAAAAAACAAAACAAACGCGAGATACGGCTGTAAGAATGTTTTAAGAAAACCTTTATCAAAGAACGAAAGGTTTCATAACCGAAGAGGCCTGTAACAGTGCGTTGACGTTTTCCACGTTCTTTCGTCTGGGATTTTGTTTATGTCGCGTCTTGAGTTGCAACACACAACAAAGTTGGGCCCATTTTATACGATGGTGACATGCGTTGTTCGTGTTTCGGAACGACCAAATATACTTGCTTGAAATGTAAAATCCCAATTGCAATAAATGTTAAATTTTTTAAGAAGAAGAAGATTAGCAAGGATGGGTCGCTCGTAAAATCGTCGCCTTTAAGATGGTTTGCATTCTTCTTCATTCGCCATGTCTACAATTGTATGCCAAATCAATCACCGAATAATAATTTTCTTCGATTAATTAATTTCGGTCTAGTAAAGTTCGGCGTTTGCATCAATTCAGCCAGGATTAACTAACTTAGGTCGGCCTATCATTGAATTCGATTCGGCGCGGCTGAAGTACGGCCTCTAAACCGGGCCTAAGAAGACAAATTACATGTACTTTTCCATGCTTTCTAGTAGCACGCGTAAGACGATTGTTCCGCAATGCACCTCATTTTATTGACAGTAACCTTAATCTAGCTGAAAATGGTCTTCTCCTCTTGACAGTATCAGGAGTGGGTTCTGGCGGTGGTAGTACATCGCGGAAAGAAGCAAAGATTTCTTTGTTTCCGCACTCCACTGTAACGAGTTCTAGAAAAGGATCCACCACTCTGACCGCGGCCGGTTTTCTGATGCCCTCGATGCTGATGAAAACTTCGTCGCCTGGCAGCAACTTGTTGAAATTCACGCTGGGTCTCCAACGCTTTCTGGAGCGAACGTCAATCATTGTACAGGGGCGAAGACAGTCGGCGCTGAGAACTGTGTCAAACTGTCAGCTCCAATCATCAAAGGTAACCTTGTTCCTGTCGCCATTTTGACTTAAGATGGTGCATATATATCATCGACCGTCATGAAGACCTTCGTATTTTTTTCCGATTTCATGAGCCGTAGTTTACGTCGTCGTGTACACGCGATTAATGAGCGAGATAAATGAACGAACCAAGATTTCTACTTGTTTATCTGTCGCTATGGCTACCAAACAACGATTGTAAAGGATCCCGGAACGAGGTTGCTCATTGGCTTGTTTTGGTCACGTGTGCAAACGAAGTGTTGTTATGGTAAAGCTGAGTTGGAAGTGAGCGTGCACCTACGTGGAGCGGGAATCTACAACGTATACTTAAGCTTTTCGAAAAGTAAATAGACTACCGACGTGTTATCTGGAACTGACGGCAATAACGGGCTAAAAAGGAAGGTAAAATTCCGCACAGCCCCATACTACATTATACGTTCAGTTCTTGGATAGAGTGACAAAAACAATACATTACCATTGGGAAAACAGATTTGTTTTACGATAGTATGGGGCAGTACGGAAATTTTACTAAAAGGAATATTTCTGTAATGTTTTGCTTTCTTGGCGAAATCGATGGTCGAACCTCGTAAATCTGCCGCATTTGAGTCTTAACACAAATTGAAAACTCGGCATTTGAAAGGTAATTTAATTTTACATCTGATCGATTTTTAAACGATAGAACCTAATCAAGTTAACGCCACTAATTACGTCTATTCTTCTTCGATGAAAAGCGCTACGTTTCGGTTGTCTGCACAAGAAACAATTGCGAACACTGCGTACACTGCGTACAATTACATGATTGACAGTGCGTGAAGTTACGCATGCTCTCTTTCTCTTTTCTAGCTTATTTGCATTTTCCTGTGCGACGTTTTTCAATGGGCGCGATTCTGTCATGCACATCGACACAAACGTTCGTTTCACCTCGCGCAAAAGTTGTAGCAACACAATCAAAGAATTCGGCGTGATTTGAGATCTTCGCCGCACCTAAATGTGGAGGGATGTTGTTTACCAGATACGCCGGAAACTTACGTGTGTCTGTGGAAATGTAGGACGATAGTTTCAAAGAGCAGACGGAACGCAAGAGAGAACTGAGGATAGTAATAAAACGGCAAGTTAAAGTTGCCGTATGAAAAACACACCAACTGATTCACGGGAAACAAAAATTACTGAAATGCAAGCGTCTTCGTTGCACGAAAGGAAGTTTGGGTTGCCACATACGGTGTTACAGCGCCAAAGTCGGAGATGTGAATTTGATCACGGTTAGCTCGAGTAAGGGCTCTTTGGTCACGAGATCGAGCAAAGGGTTTCGCAACTTCGATATCGATCGCACCTACTGTAGCTTGAAGGACCTTGGATGGCTGGCCAGACCCAACAAGAAAACTTTAATCGGTTGATGAAAATAGCTTCCTAAGAAACCCGAAACTATGTGTGTTTTTGACATAGTCCTGAATCATCTGGTAGTTTATCATAATTTTCGATTACCCATTTGGGCTGGTTTACACATTCAAGTTATTATTACAACACTTACGTTTCAAACCGGATCTGCTCGTGAAGAAAGAGAAGACTCCGAAGAAGCCGTCGCTTAAAGTTAAACAATGTAAAGTATAAACTCTGGCTGTCAGTGAAATTCCTCTTTCGAATTGAAACGCAGAAGTTTTATCGACGAAGCTGCGACATGTGTCAACGAAAGGAGGAAAAAAAATTTCTGCTTATATCCCATAATGCACCACTCCTTGCACCATTCTCACCAATATTTTAATTTATTTCTTCACAGGCAGGCCCCTTTCTTCTCTTAACGGCCTCCGGCCAAAAGTAATTTCGTAAAAAGACGCTTCAAACGGCCCATGAAGGCTGAAAAATATCACAAATACGTCGATTACAATTTCTTTTAACTTAATTGAGATATTCAGACCAAGATGTAATTTAGATATGCAATTTTCAGAGCTTTATTATATGAATAAACATAAACATATATAGACCTGTTGGGGTTCCATGTTCCGGTACGAGTCAGCACTAGGGTGACAAACCCTCACGTCAAAGAATGCCGCACGTTGGCACTCCCAGAACCCACGAGCATGAATGTCTAGCCTCGCATCAGATCCTATTTTGGATCCTCTACTCAGCTGTTCACCTGAAATATCTTGGAGGCTCGATCTCGACATCGCTACATACAGAAGTTAAGAGTTCGGCCTCAAGGTCTCTCAGGTCGTTGTGTCGCTGAGTAATAAACCTTCCCTGTTTACGTATCATTGCATGGTCTACCGTAAAGGTACCCCCGCATACACAAGTGGAGGGGAGATCATCAATCGGCCAGTCGTAGCGCAGTTTAATAGCGTCACAGAACCCTCTCTCGTTCAGGGTGAATCCTAGTTCTTGCTGTAATTTTTCTGGCCATCGCAAAAATCGTGACTTCGAAATTCGGCTCTCGTTGGACTAATAATGTTCAATTAGAGTATGATAAAAACAAAGGGATATTTTCATTCGTTCATATTCCATGCTTGCTGGAAACTCCGTTTTCTCGCCACTTTTAATTTTGGATTATGCACCACTTCTGAAATTTTAGGCGCAAAGGGTCTTGAGAAAAGTGATCTTTGTTTCCATTAGTTGACCCCTGGGTTGAGTAAGCCCCTAGGGTACCCATTCAAACTGAAACTGCGTATTTCAATTTACGGAAAGAGTTAGAGATCATCGAAAAGCCTCATATCAGAGCAGTAAAAACGTTGAATTTTCTCAATTATGATCATGATAAACGTACTTCTTCTAAGTATGTGGTATCTTGTTGATTCTGTGGTTCAGAGCAGTCAATTTTAGCTCCACTGAATAATTATGCAATACAGTCAGACGAGAATAGCCATCGAGGATGTCAATCAAAATTAAGGAAAATAATTTAAGCTTATGTATGTTCCTCATGTCAGAAATTTCCTATAAATGTTCGCACCGTTTATGTAGTTATCCTGTGGTTATCGGTATCTGTGTGACTGTGGCATAGAGAAACTTTGCGTTGTGCTACACCGCATACCTTCGTGTGCACCAAACCGCGCCCGCGATTATTTTCGCCATGGCGGCGAAAGAGATAAAAAATACCCTGAAAAATGCTCGAGAGTGTATCAAGAACAAAGACTATAAAGAAGCTTTCAAGCACTGCAAGGTACTATTTACAATAATTCATTACTTCGTGTCCCCAATTAATTTTTACAATTTGTTGTCAAAAGTTGCCATAAAATTTACGGTAAAATTTTCTGGTGACAGGCACGCGTCGATCAGTATATTTACGTTCTTAATGTGTGGGATAACAAATTCTGATTATGACTCTCTTGTTCTCGAATTTGAATTTATTATACTCTCAGTTCTTATTTGTTCTTACTGCAGCATAGTGAGAGAAGCGTTATTGCATTAAGTACATTTACTTCAAACTGACTTTTTTTACAGGTCGTTTTGAAGGCTGACAAAACCAATTACAACGCCTTGGTCTTCTTTGGAAAATGTGCATCAGAACTGGGCCAGCTCGACCAGGCCCACGCGGCTTACCGAAAGGCAATTGAATCTGATGATACACAGCCCCTTGCTTGGCAGGTAGAATATTTTTTTTGTCCTTTTTAAAAGAATCATTTCCTTGTAAGAAGATCTTGGTTTATGTTGATCAGGTACGATTCACACTATTGGGACTGTTAGCGTTTCTGAAGGAAACGTCAACTGCCATTTGTACCAAAACTGAAACACAGAGATTTTTCTTGGTGATGCACTGTTGCAAGCTTTCCTCTGATATGAAATTTGCTGTGATTTTGTTAGGAGCAGTGTGCAGAGAATGTCAGCAACCATCTGCCGCAGCCTTACACTTTTAACATGATCTTGTTCTGTACTGGAATAACTTAATTCTTTACACCCTAACATCAGTTTGCATATTCTTCATACAGATCTCCATACATTTCCTAAGGTGCTGGAAAGGAGAATTTGTTTAACAATCGAGAAGTCCTTCAGTTTATTATTATTTCCTTTATTCTCATGACCCTAAGTTAATGTGTGATTTAAAGGTGATATTGGAAGGAGACATTACATATAGATGCTAATCACTCTTAGGGGTCAAAAGGTAAAAGATAATATTAATGAGAAGTAAAAGTTTTTATGTCTGTTTTATATTTTTCATGTCAGGGTCTTGCTGCCCTTTGTGAGAAAGAAGAGAATCCACAGTATAAAGCTGAACTTCCTGGTGTCTATGAGAAATTGTTGCTGATGTATGAGAGGTGACAGAAGTGATGTGCATACTTTAAGCTCTTATGCTAAAACTAAGACTGCCAATAATGAACCTGTTATGTAAACCAACTAAAAACAATATTCATTTAAATTCATTTGTGGTAAAATGATTGATTCATCTCTGAATCAGATTGATCATGAAACTGAATGAAAGAAGTACCTTGTTATCAAACTTACTCACATATGATTATAATTTAATTAACCCAACATGTACTCTTAACAATTTTCTCTCTGTTCACAGTGAAAATACAAAATGGTTGGAAATTGCAAGCAAACTGGCTGAAGTTTACAAGAAAAACGATGAAGCTCTGAAGGTATGACCCATGTGAATAACTGATCATTGGTTGTATTCTAGTCCAGCAGGTAATTTAGTGTTAACAACTGAGTTGAAAACATAAATTGGTCATTGTAAAGGGTAAAAAAGCTGATGTTTCGAGCGTTAGCCCTTTGTCAGAGCGATTGATGAAGGGCTGATGCTGGAAACGTCAGCTTTTTTACCCTTTAGGTGGCCAATTTATGTTTTTAACTCAGTTGTTAACACTAAATTACCTGCTGTACTCTCCCACCAATGTAGCACCACAGTTTCTTTAGAAACTTAACCCCTTTATGTATTCAGCCTGATTTGTTTGTTTGTTTTTTTTATCTAATCTACATGCTTGTCCTTCGGGTGAGATTCATAGAAATCATTTTAAATATAAATTTGTTTAACACCAAATTATACACTCTAAGTTAAGTATTATATTTAATTTTTTAGGCAGTACATATGTGGGAGAAGATGGCCATGGTCACCAAAGACGCTGCTGAACAGTTTGGAATTTGGATGAAAATCATAAAAATCCTTGAAAAGGTGAATTTGTTGTTTTGTTGTAACACTTCAACCTCAAAGAGTGACCAGCATCTTATTCTCCTTACAATATCACCCCTGAATCAAGGACTAAGGTCACTGGAATAAAGGAAATGATCATCATTTATGGAAATTCTTGATTGTAGACCAAATTCTCCCTGTCAGTGCCCTAGGAAATGTATAGAGGACAGTATGGAGAATATGTAAAACTTTTATCCAACACTGGAAAGATGTCAACTGACCAACTTACCCTTTTCATTCCCAGTCTCGTAGTATTAATTCTCTGTATGAACATCTCATATATTTCTTTTAATTTTGAAGTCTGAGAATCTGGTGTGAAATCAAATGATATCCCTATGTACCAAAAGTCATAGATTGTAATGAGCCAACTCAAGGTTCTTCCCCTTTGTGTGGCATTAAATCTTAGAAGGGTACTCTGTGCTTGAGATTATAGATGTACTAAAATATGCAAACCCTGTCAAGTTGTGTTCTGAAAATTGGCACCATCCTCTCAACTAATCTGTAGCAACATTATGACTGATGGAGCTCAGTAGCTAGTGTTCCCTGTGCCAAGGCTTGTTATATGACTGTCAAATACAGTTTGTGTCAATGTTAGATTTTTCATGGGCACCTACTAGTTTTGATACCCAGTATAACTTGGTTCTGAATGGCTTTTGCCACTGCTTTGAGTGTGATATATAGGACATGAGTTTTAATTGCCAACACATTGAGATTGCTATTGATTTCAGTGGAACCTTGATTTAAAGAAGTGCTAAGGGACTGGGAAGTTGGTTCATTAAATTGGGGATTTGTTATATTGAATTATATTATATTTTTTCTTTTTTTCTTATGTTCTTCCTGTTTGTTTTTGTTTTTGTTTTTGTTTTTTTTGTGGGTGACATCACACTACCCAGCACTTTGGGATTGGAACAATCCTTTAAATAACGTTTGTGCTTTCATATTCACATCAAAATGTCTGTATTGAGTGACAATACACTGTACAGGTCTTTACATAGTGGAAGTCACTAGCAAGCGGAGAAACAAGGGCGTAAGCCAGGAAATTCCTGCCTCTTATACCTTTTTACTACAAGAAGCCTTCAATAGTAATAAAAGACAAAGAGAATAAAGCAGATCTGTAGATGTGTTGATAGTGTCAGTGTTGGCATTTATGATGAGTTGTTAACTGTGACGTTGTTCTATAGTTAGAGAATTGAAAGATTTTGATTCTTGTCGGTCTGTTTCGCATTTGCCTATTGCCACGTGTTGACATTTGTTCGTTACGTTATCTCAGGGTATATTATACCTTTGAGCGTCTGGATAGTGTTCGTTATATCAAGGATTTTGTTAAATCGAGGCTCTGTCCCATACATTTTTCTGTAACTTTGGCCGGGCTGAAGAGTTTTGTTCGTTTTATAGACTTTGTTTTAAAGCAGTTCGTTAACTCGAGGTTCTACAATGATTTGAATAACATTTTATTTTGAAATTACTTTCAGAGAAAATTAGAAGAGGCTGGGTCTAAAAAGGTAGGCAGTGTTGTAATGAATTAGTGACTAGTTTTATTTCTCATAACAACCAATCAGATCTCCATGA